TACTGCACATTATTCATGGTGATCTGATTTATATCATATTTTCTGCGCATATCATGCATATTTGACTTGTTCGTATTTTAGCATTTTTAAGCAAATTCTTTATTACTTAGACTGGCGTCCTTGTGCGTATATTGGTCTTTACGAATATTCAATTAAAATCCGATTTATATATGCACAGCTCCTAGGCTACGCGACAGTTTTTGACCCGGGGAATAAAGAATGTCTACAATGCAGTTTAGAGCATTGTTTGTGTAATGGTCATATTCGGATTAAGTGGCTGCTTTACGATCATGTATAGCGTGTTATTTATTATGATGAATTGGTATATTTTTACATAAACTGTACGCCTGCTCGTTGGATATTTTGCAATTATTTTTCATTTAGACAACACAAGTTTATTTCCTTGGTTATCTTGTTATCTTCTGTACTGTAATATGTCCTGCTTTCAGAGTGACCTCAACTTTATGCGTGCGTTGATGAGCGACACATGCTTACCTTGACCGGAAACCTTTGACATTCTGCGAAATAACGTGGTCCCTCTGACTGGTTTCTAAACTCCATCATTAGTGGGCAGATAATCGGACTCTTTGGAGTGCATTAAAGTTTTTTGCCATAAAACTGTTCCGTAGTTGTCGAAATCCTCTCCATTTAACTACATTGTTCTCCTACGTAATACTGTTATAACCAATGATGCCTCATGACTGCGAGTGGTTTGACTGTAGGACTAGGCGAACACACAACTCACAGTTGGCCATCTCAGATGATTTTGCTAAAAAGTTCATGGCAGTTAAGACCGTGGTCCGAGTTTTAGTTCCCACATTAAAATGTAACACATCCGCCCCTAGTTATTAGTCAAACAGGGCAATGCAGTCTTCAAATAAAAATAATACTCTTTACGTACGATCAGGCCGTCGATAAACTCTTTGCTTGCAGAGTATTGCATTCAGCGACATTTGCCACTTGTATAATGAAAATTAATTAACGAAGTTATTCGTGAAGTAAGATACGTTTGCGCAGGTAATTAATTTTAACGGAGCTGGCAACAGATAATGGTGTGCATGGCTAAAAGCACGGGTGTCCACTTATGCGGAATGGCGACTTTGCTACCACCGACAATGTGCTCAAGAATTATGATGCATTCTGACGAATCATCCTACGTCAGAGAATTTCGCACATGTGACGCGGCAGCTACATGACAGATGACGGCACGCGTAACTATAACTTTGTCCGCTTAAGAAGTTTCCGAGGCTATCGGTGGTGTGAAACAGTGCAGCATACTTCATCCCAGCCTATTTAATCTTACTTTGTCCTCTCTACTGATGGACGCCTAGCACGAAAGGCGCCCGCGGATCGATATCGACTGCCGAACAGACGGAGACTTGCTTAACACCCCTTGGTTGAACTTATCTATGTGACTATCCAAGGCCATCGTGCATAAAATTTGGCTTGCTGGATTTCTACTTTCTGACTGAGCCTCATCGCAGTCGACGTGCATCGAAGGATAGCAACACGGAAGCCCGCATACTCACCTGTACAAGGACAACACCGTTTTCAACGTAATTTCATTTTCTCAGTCACCTGATTAGTGATGTTGAGCGCATGCAAAAATACAGACTAGGCGTCAAATAAAGCACGCAGTCGCTAATGCGATGTACAGCACAGTACCGTAATCAAGGCAATAGAGATGTCAGTACGAATGTTCACTCAATTACTAAAACACTCAAGACAAACACTCAAACACTTAGGACACTTCGAAGCTCATAACATGCAAACCTTTCCATGCATTTTGCTGATCTTTTAGTTTTCTGTCGTATGCTATCCTTTGATGTGTTGCTCAACAATGACATAGAAGTAGGCTGAACCCTAAAGGCATAAGCCTTACTTAATATTCTTATGGTAAAGCATGCCTTCCAGCACCTAAATTACCATATGGCCAAAATGTCGCCGCTTTAAGACTAAAAACCCTGTCTCATTACTTGCCCCATGCCCTGCAATGGTGTGCACTTTTACGTTTTCTGTGACTGGTTAACCATGGCTCTTTTTAAGATGTATAAAGTCTAGAACGCGCAGAATTATTTTTAAAGCCTTATGTTTCTGTACAATAGTGTGCTTCTGGCTTATTGTCCTGCGGTGTTCTGCTGTCTTAGTTTACTTCATAAGTTGCATCTTTTGTACTTGCGAAAAATCTAAGGTCTTATGGAAAGCTAATTTTTACTCTTGTTGCACTGCACGTATAGTTGAGAGCATTTTGTGTCATATGTTTGATCAGTTTACTTGTAAAATTCGGCAAATGTCCACGCTTTAATGGAGAATTTCGCCTTCCCAACTTTGTAGACCATCAACTGGACCAAGTATGGCCTTTCAAGCAAACCCTATACTTTGCATCATACTTGTCATTTATAATTGAAATAAACACTGGAGGCACTATATACACCAAAAGTTGTGCTTCTGAAAGTTGCTTTGAGGAAGCCAGACTCTACCGTTTTTCATGCGCAATAAATATCCCTCCCAGTTAGATTTTGGTTCACACTGTGGTAATAAATTTTCGTTGTACATAGTCGTATTTATTTCAAACTAACCCCCGGCTTACATTAATGCTGATTTACACTTTTAACAAATATTAGGGCATTCAAGTTAACCTAAATCCACCGCTATTGGAAAATGCTGAGATGTGCCAATTCGGCTTTAATGCGTCAACTGCATACATCTTTGCTGAAATAGTCTACCATTCGACTGATTTGCTTGTCATTCGTCTGTCCCGAATGACTTTTCCGAGCCTTCTGAAATACACGATCGACAGTGTGTCAACATCCCCTGCCTGGGAAGAATTCGTCAGGGCAAGCATTGAGTTTTTAATGGGGCAGGCGTTCTATATGCATAGATCAATCCGCTGCGTACTCTAAATAGCTTCGGATATGCAATAAAATCATTGCGTCTTTAATATGACGTCTTGGAATTCCTTACTTTACCGCCTGTTTTTCATGTCAAAATAGCGTCAGAATACCCCAGCAATTAGATTATTGGTTATCCCAAACCCAACCTAAGCTTAAGTTTACTCTTGCTAAGCCATCCAGTGTTTATGATGAATTCTCAGTTAAGTTTGCAAACCTGTTGAATTTAACTACTGCTTACTTCACTCCAGTTAGTGTCCAAAATTATCGAAACTTCCACTTTTCACTCAATTGTAGGAACAACTCCTTACCGTATCTTGCATCTAGTCTCCGAGTGGCCATTCTTGTGCTCATGTATGCGAGTCTGCGATTGTTGTCCTGCTTCTGTAAAGTAGTTGCAGTCTCCATTGTTACAACATATTTGGTAGACAACTGTTTACGTTTTAGTTGTTGCCAGTGTCTCTTTCGGTTGCATCAAATGGCGCGGAATTGTTATCTGTGGTCGATGGGCAATGCCTGCTCTGGCGAGCTGTAACAGTTCTCTGTAAAAGACAAGCCCTGTAGATAACGAGCCCATTATGGCTTAAAATGCTCAGGAACCAGTAAACGATATCACAGAACAATTAAGCACGCATAACGGCGAACATCACACTCTTTCAGGCAAATTCACTGCGCGGAATAGTACGTGATCAGGTCATTGCGTTTTATGCAGAAAGTAGGTCGAGGTCGCTAGATATAGACAGCACGTAGTTCCGGCGTTCATCATCATTAGTCCGCATTCCGACCTCGCCGCACTTGAGCTTGTGACTGATCCCTATTCAACGATCGTGTGCTGTGATCTGCCGTGTTTTGTTTTGTCCGCGTTTGGAATAGTATTTATTATTTTCTGACGTAGCTGCTGCTGCCTAAGAATGCACTCTGAATCCACTGTTTGACTCGTGATGTTCACTATCGCGTCAGCGGGACCTTCGTCAGTTCCGTCATGCAATGATTGCCCGAACAAAATGAGAATCCCAAATGGATCGGCCTCCTAATTTTAACGAGGCATTCTCGTGCGTTTCAGATGTCTTGCGAGCTATTATCTTTATTCGGATGTTCATTAACATGTACTTATGTTTGGGAGAGTTGCAAAATATTTGATACTAAAGTCTGAGCTCCATGATCTAGGGTGTCACGTGTGTGAAAACGAGGACTGTTAGCGTCTTATAATGGACTTAGTCAATGAAATTTCCGAATGTATACTTAGTTCCGTTGTGCGGTATGGCAGCTAAGATGTCTTTACCGTTACTATGCTCTGCGGCATCTGAGTTACAATTTATTTGCTGGTGTACTATACAGAGATACCTTCATCGAATTTTTATAACTGTATACGTAGAGATAAAATCTCGTATGACACTGCTGGACGGCTACCTTAGTCTTTCGGTCAGTACTAACATATATTACCACGACGCCCAATCCCATGTGTAGTTATGTGTTTGAAGAAGAAGAAGAAGAGTCGAGCACCGGAACAATTCGTTTATTATCCTGAGCATTCAGACTCGTACAGGAGTCCATCGTCAGAGGTAGTGGCAGAAACAGGAGAAGCGGCAGTTATAAGGCACGTAGACCCAATCATCGACCGACGTCGCACGACTGGAGGTGACTACGAAGGGCACTGTACGCCGGCGCCAGATCGATAAATCGATTGACCGAGTTCTCATCCGAGGCCCAGGCTTCAATCAATTCTCGGCCTGTTTTGTTTCCGGCGTGGGCAACTATTTTGGTGGCTGCGAAGTCAAACTCGTGACCCATTTCCTAGGTGTGGGCGGCCACTTGTGATAATGCGTCGCCTCGCCGCACAGCCAGCTTATGTTCATGTATGCGCGATCCCAGCATGCGTCCAGTCTGTCCTGTGTAATTACAAGGACAATTTTGGCACTGAATGCGATACACTACTCCAGATTGCTCTTCAGGTTTTAACCGGTCTTTGATTTTCATGACCCTGTTGCGCATGGTGGCTTTGGGGCGGTGTGCGATTGCAACCCCTAGCTCCGCAGCAATGCGCTCGGTCGCTTCTGAAACACCCTTGATGTATGGCAGAGAATGCCATATCGTCGGTGGCGTTGATGTTCAAGTTCTCTGGTGGCGACCGCGTAGGCAGCGACTTATGAATGCCCTCGGATAGCCATTTTGGACAAACTGGTCGCGGAGATAACGGGCCTCACGCGCTCTATCTTCCAGTTTGCTGCAATGAGTTTGGATCCGTTTGAAGAGCGTCTTCACACAGCTTCGTTTGTGAGCCACCGGATGGTTGCTGTGAAAACTGAGAAGCTGTGTGGTGTTCGTTGCCTTCCTATAAACCGTCGTTTCAAGTTCACCGTTAAGGTTTCGTCTGACGAGCACATCCAGGAAGGGCAACTGATGCTCCTGTTCTTCTTCTCTCGTGAATTTTATATCCGGGAAGACTGCGTTGAGCAGGCTGTGAAAATGTTGCAGCATGTCCTTCTTTACGATGACGAACGTGTCGTCAACGTAACGTCGCCAAAACACCGGTTCATGTTGGAGGAAGGCAATCTTTTCCAACTCTTGTAGGACCAGTTCTGCCACCAAACCGGAGACCGGTGAGCCCATTGGGGTTCCCTTGATTTGTTCATAGGTCTCTCCCGCAAAAGTGAAGAAAGTTTGTTGGCAGAATTCAAACAGCCTCATGAGGTGTTCAATTTTGAGGGCATTCTGAGTCTCATCGTACGCCTCTTCAAGTCTCTTGCGCAAAACTTCGCGGGCCACGTTTGGTGGGATAGATGTGAATAACGACGTCACGTCGAAGAAGACCATGATTTCGTCCGATTGAATTCTCCGACCTCGGAGGTCTATGAGGAATTGAGAGGCTGATCGAACTGAGGTAGTCGAATTGCCTTGGAGGAACTTCAGTTTTTTTTACCCGCGCAACTTTGTCAACCAGTGCATATAAAAAGGACACCAGAGACCAAATCCAACCGGACCCAAATTTTGGCGGGCTCTTCCGTACGTGAAGAACGTCTCGAAAGCCGTCAGTCGTCTTCTCACTCCACTTGGAGTTGGGGTTGCACACAGGCCGGAAGCAACCATTAGGCGCCAAGTCATGAGGCCAAAAGACCCGCTGCCACGGCAGGACACGTCTGGAGTCATTTACCGGATCTGGTGTAGTTGCGGACAAAGCAATTATGTCGGAGAAACTGGGAGATTACTCCGTACGCGAATTGCCGAGCACGCAGCAGCAGTGAGGCGTGGAGACGCTAAGTATCAAGTGGCGGCACACTCGACGGGACACGGCCATATTTTCAAATTTCAAGAGGCCGAAATCCTCGCAAGGGGTGACAACCGCGTGAGCAGCGAGCTGCTCGAGTCATGGTTCTCAGGCCTGCAATCCATCAACAAGCACAATGACCTCCCGGTACCCTATAGCGTACTGCGATTTTCCCTGGGCAGGAGAATCGGTCACGTCGGGAGGGTGCGGGCGAGCAATCATCACGGTGACAGTGAGCCAGTTTGCCGAGCAATCGTCACACCAGCATCCAGCACGGATGACGAAATCGCGGCAATTAACGACTCGGACTCGGACCGACAAGCCACCACCGCATCAATTACGGCCCCAGCGGTGATTACGAGAACTGTTAATTGCAGTGCGCATGCGGTCCCACGGCAGCCACGTGCTATAAATACTGCACTCCTGGTGCCACCTTCACCTTTATCTGCTAATATCTCTGATGATGGATTCGACTAAGGATCCGAAACGTCAGGCAAATAAATTTCTAGTTCCGGTGATCGCATCTTCATCTTCTGAACTGCTACCTGGAACTCGCCTGTTCGCTTCTACATCCACTTTGCCAAATTGTAGGTGGGGCTGCCTTTTAGGGCAACGATTGGCCGAAGTGGAACATTTGTTTAGTGGATTTTTGGCACACCATAGAATCGGGCTAGAGCGGTGTCAGTTGTCCTCATTTGGTGCCATTCATTCTCCGTGATCACATTTTTATGTCGGTATTCTCTAAGCAGTTTACTCAGCCGATCTGCCACTGCTTTGGCTTGTGACTTCTGTGCTGGTCTGTAAAATTCTCTGTCATCAAGAGGGGCTTTAGCTTTTTCATTATAGTCTTCTCTATCCATTACGACGGTTGATCGTCCCTTGTCAGCAGGTAGAATGATAATGCTGTCGTCCCTCCTCAGTTCCCTCATAGCCTTTGACTCACTCTGCGAAATACATTTGGTTGGTCTGTGCGTCATCAGCAAGGAGGTAACACGCTGTCGGACGGAGTGTTTCATGTCGTCGGATGTTTCACTTCTCACAAGCATAGCTTCCAGGGCTGCAATGAAGTCGACAGGATCGGCATCTGCAGTGTTGAAACACGTTTCATGCTGCAACACTCGTAGTCGCTGCTCTGTTAACTGCTTAGACGAGAGGTTGTGGACCAAGTTTGAGCTTTCTGTGCCTGGTGGTTTTAGCTTAGTCAGTTTCCGTTCCAAAACTTCTCTCTTCTTGGCTTGCCAAATATACAAGGGACCAGATTTTATTAACTACAGCGTTTGGGATTCCATGATTTCTTGATCGCCTTGTTCAGCACTTTGACCGCAGTTTACAAAGTGCCTGTTGTTGTAATTACTTATCGCGGGACATTTGTCCAAATCTTAGGAATTAAAATATTCTAGCCTCACTTACAACTGTGGAGTAAGCAGGACAGTTTGGACGTCTGGGTAGATCGTTTGCCTTTATGGACGCAAACGTTACAAGAAATTTAGGTTTGGTTCGAAAGTTGGGGTGCATTTATTAATACTGAGTGCCGAGAACAAAGTGTCCTTCAAAAAGGGTGACTGGCCTTAGATTTAAGAATCATACCTTTGCAATCGGCCTAATATTATAATTCAGTCTAGTCTTCTGAAGCTCAGCAGACAGGGCTGACCAGTAGGGCGAAAGAATAGGTGTGTTTATGTAAAGCAGACGGCCTTTTCTCAGAGGAATGTGCAAACGGACCTCCGGAGCACAAAATGCGGACAAGCGTATACTCCATATAATTAGGCATATGACGACATCACCATTTAGGCCTAAGGCTAAAGTCTGGATAAAATGTCATGCTGATATTTTTTGGAGAGAAATCAAAAGCATAGAGAATTCAGACTCTAAAATGCTCTACTCAACACCTTGCTTTATGCCTAATAACAACCCCGAAAGGCAGGTCTTAATGACAAACACTGGCCGAAGAGTTTTGGGTTGGGCAATCCAATAGGCAATTTCAGTTTCTGAAACCAGAGATCCGAATCGTCCAATTATCGCACCAGTACCCGTAATTACAAATCAACAGAGCAATTATGGGTAGAGAAAGTCCAGATACCCTTTTGCGAGATGGAAAAAAATAACTGCAAAAATCAAAAGGCATGTAAATCAGCCCAGCCAAGTAACACTTGGTCTGTTGTGCGGTATCTTTTAAGTCTCGAATCCCAGGGTATAAAGTCAGTCAACATCGCCTGCCTTACGTAAAACCCACTGAACAAAACAACCGCATAAAGAACTTATTTTGGACACGAGGAAAATTGCGCGAAAATCGAATTTCTGAAATGGAAGATGTTACAGGGACGGTTAACCTAATGGAATTATGAATTAAGGGGAAGATAGACGTGACCACGCACGTGCAAGCAAACAAAACCATTTGCGAAATGAGTTCGTGTAAACCGGCAGACAATCTGCATGTATCGTACCTTCGAGCACACGTATTGCCTTTGCTTATACGTGCGACCTCATCAGTGGTCAGTCAAACATTCGAGTTTTTTACGAGGGGACCTTCTTGCAAGAAACGGTCAATTAACGACCAGTACGCTATAAGCTGGAATGGTCTATAACCGCGAACAATTCATTAAATAAGGTGCTTTTCAGCGCATCTGTGCATTGAGTTATTTAAGGTGGCAGAATAGAGAGGTTTTTACCGGAACTCACCTTCCTTCTCCCTCATCCACCCATGAAAGCACAACAAGAGCTAGTTCAGGTGTCCAGAATATTATTTACAGGAGACCTAATACATCAGCGTCTCGGTGCTCGGCGGACCAACTTTGCAGCTTTGTTTGCATAAATGCGGAAAAATCGCAACTCGACAGGCCAAAAAACGAAAATACCAGTGAAAGTTAACACCAGAACTTTAGAAAACTAAATATAGTGTCCTTACAAAAAGACGCCAAGTTCAGAGATCAAGGCAAAGAAATAGCCGGTAGGAATCCATAGAGGAATGACGTTAGCGAAAGCCAGAAAAGTCCGATCGTCGACTTAATAGCAACAAGTAATGATGCTGAACAACGGAACACTTGGCTGCCTGCAAGGTGGTAAACGAAGGTCAAATTATACTAAATAAGCGTATATATGAACCAACCGACAAAAAGTTCAATGTGATATTTAACCAAAAATTTAGGTCATTTTAAAAAAGGCAATCGTAAGAATCAGAAGGCAGTAATAAGCAAGATGTAAAGTTCAATCGCATAATGCGTCCCTTCCAAACTACGCACTGATATTGTGGGGAATGGCAGTGTGTGTCCATACTATACATGGTGATGTTACCAGTGCTCTCGGTTATGTCACGAAGCAGCGCACTGCCAAGACAAAAAAACCGAGTTCAGGAAAGACATGAGATGGGAGCGCTCAGCACGAACCACAAACGCTAAGCTGTAAACACAGAAAATATCTGATGGTTTGCATGGACGTATAACCTACAACAGAATTATTCAATACAACCTCGGACCTCGCGACAACAGCTAGAACACTTGCCTGCACCGTTCACATCAAGCAATGCACAATTGCATGCATTCGCAGGAAATAATTTGTTATTCGACTTAGTTAATAGAACAGAAACTGCAATTTAGCCCCTACGTCAAATGACATGTCGCGTTTATGAGAGTATAGTTTATATACCGCCCACCAGGCTGAAAACGGAAATAGGAGTCAACATGATGTAAGGGGCTTTATGCTGAAATTCAGAGCAATTAGGGCTAAGGTTAGGGTAAGGTTATTGTTCAGTGTTGCGTCCCAAATAACGTAATGCTTACGGTTAATGTTTGCGTTATGATTAGTTTTGGGTTTAGAACAAGTGGGTTAGCACACGTCCTGGAATCTAGCACAAGGACACTTGCGTTAGGCAGATATTCGCTCAGATTCCTGTTTCCTACGGGGGAGAAGCCCATAATCTAACTGTTATCGAATTAACTACGTCTCTTTGATAAACCATTAGATAAGTCTGTGTTTAGGTGATTTGACCCCTAAAAATTCGGAGGATTATTTCCTCCAGAAAATATGACCTGTGTCGTTTCTGAAATGCGTTTTCGATTTGGATAGATTACTTAGTCGATTATAGAGCATTGATTATCTAGCGGCATAATCCAGTAATTTTTCGAATTTTCCACGATGTCGTCTTTTGAATGCAATTCGTTTTGATCTCCTACAGGAGCCATGCTCAATAAAAATGACTACTTATTTAGCACGCATTTTGGCATTAATTTTCGATGGTCATGTAAATTCAAATATATTTCATAGAGAACATGCGCAAAAATAGGCTTTCTTCTTACGTTTGATGGTAAATCGCGTCGACTTTATATTTTATAATTGAAGACAGGGTATATTCAAGTATTAAAATCGTTTTACATTTCCCAAATAATTTTAGGCCAGATCAGTCGTTGTATTAGCGTTCAGCGATTTCATTCCGTAAGGTTTATGCTTTCTGAGTAAAGGAAATTATTTATATCTTTATGCCTCTAATCAGATATTATTTAGAGATTATTTAATTTTACGAAGAGTGCGGACCATGCTAAATATTTCATGAGAG